GCTCAAGGGGTTAAGATGCAACCTATGAAGCTATCTGCAGCCACTGCAGCACGAGTTCTATCCCCAGCCAGGAAGCTACCCACATGGTGCAGCAGACCTCTCCTGACTCGCCCCCTGCTCCCCTCAGCAGTGTATTTCAGTCGATCTGCCTGTTCTGTTCCCCGCTCTGTCTCGGGTAAATTCTCTCACCCGCCCCCCTCACACCTCTGGCTGTACCCCAGTTCTTGTATGCATAAATAAATCTTTAAAAAAAAAAAACTAAGCTGACTTTTGAACAATATGGGGGTTAGAGGCACTGACACCCCATGCAGTAGAAAATCAGGTATAACATTAACTTCCCAACTACCAATAGCTTGCTGTTGACTGGAAGCTGTTAACTGACAGTCAATTAACACCTATTTTGTATGCCTTATGTAGCCTGTACAGTATTACTACGATAATGTAAGCTAGAGAAAAAACATTAAGAAAATCATTAGGAAAATGTATTAAAAGTACTGTACTGTATTTATCTGTACTGTAGATAAACACCATGTATTTACAAGAAAATCAGCATATAAGCAGGCCTATGCAGTTCAAACTCGTGTTGTTCAAAGGTTCGGAGTAATTAAATATTTTGAACTACTCGAATAAAAAAGCAGTTATGAGTAATCTAAGAAAAAATAAAATGAGTTGGAAATATTTTTGGGTAGTTCATTGAGCTGCCTACCGGATACCAAGGGATGTGTTAATTTTCTTGAGCAGTTAAACCGCATCTGAAACAGCAGCTGCAATTGCAGTCACCATCTGGTTAAGTTCATGATAACCCATTATCATTCCCTAAGGCCCATCTGTTTTCTATACTAGCCAAAATGGTGAGTTGAACAGGAAGAGGGTAGGAATCTCTACCCTTGCTACCTCCAAGTCCTTGATGGGGGAGCTACTCACTGCATTCCGTTTGGAATGTGGTGTTGCTGTTGGTTTTCCGCTCCCTTAGGGAAGCACTATACCTTATAAAAAGGTAGAGTGGCCTCCACTTGGCCTTTCCTACAAAAATAATCCTCATTCCACAGGACAGGGAACCAAGGCAGGGATTCTGACAATTGTTGAGCATGTTTATTCTAGTGCACAGTCACCTGGTTAAAGGTCATGTATCACTTCGAGGAACCAAATGTCACTGAAAGAGTCACAGTGAAAATTTATAGCAGAGTCCCAGGGTGGGTCCTCAAGGAAATCCAGCCTTCCATTAATTCAAGAGGCCCTGGGTCTGTACACTGGCTAATGTCTGGGAGTTGACTGAGGGACCATAACTCTTTGTTTTGGTGATTCAAGTTAGACTTTTCTGCCTATGTAAGCAACCAAGAATTTAGTAGATTCTCCTCTGCTTATCTTGCAGGGATGCCATAACCAGGTAGCTAACATCACTGGTTGCTGTGTTGACTCTGCTGTCCTTTATCAACCCACCCTGCCCTTGGTGGTTAAGCTTAGTCACTTAGCCCCTGCCACTCGGGAATCCAGCTACCCCCACTGCATTTGCAGTCCAAGTTAGTTGGCAGCAGTTCCCACTGTTGCACTTAAATGCACTAAGAAGAGTACCACAGTATCAAGGATGCTGGGGTCTCCTGGCAGATGTGCAAAGTACAAGGAGGCACCTTGCTGCCAGCCCTCTTCCTGATGATGTCACTGCTCTGTGCAGCCCTGAAACCTCTCTGGATGCCACTTAGGACCAAGATACTCCCTTTTGTTCTACCTGTTATGTAGAACATGGGGTTCTTCAACCCATGTATGTCTTGGTCAGAAGATGCTGCTATGTCATTTCTGCCCTATTAGAAAGCTCCATGGTGCCGAGGCTACAAGCATATATGGTGTAAGCTCATTAGGACCCTGTTTTAGAGGAGTTCCAGAGCAAAAGTAAAATCCCTACTGTCTGCAGCCCAACATTCATTGCCATTCTAGTTAGTGCAAGCCAAGTTTCCTTTGGAAAACCTTCCTATTCTCAATCCCATAGTTTGTGCAGGACTGATACTACCTGAAGATACATAAGAGGGTCCTGATACCCCAAGTCAATCAAGACCTCCTTCTGCTAGATGCAAAGAATTGCACAAAACCCAGATTCAAGTCAATCACCCCTCCATTCTCTTTGCAACAGATCAGAGATAATCCTATGCCACCAGGCTTATGACTGTACCTTCTAGGAAGCAGTGCCATTATGTAAAATGGGTTGTTTTTAATTGGTATGATATTTCCACTGGTCTGCCTGGAAGTGTAGAGTTTTCACTACTATTACTCTATTAACAAGGAGTCCAGCTTTTGTTGGACAAAAGGAGTGTTCACAAAAAGGAACTTTTTTAAAGATTTATTTATTTATACAAGCACTGGGTACAGTCAGAAGCGCGGGAGGGTGAGAGAATCCACCAGAGCCAGAGTGGGAGCAGAGCAGGCAGAAGGACTGAAGTACACTGCTGAGGGGAGCAGCGGGCGGCAGGAGAGGTCTGCGTGCCATGAGGGACCCTCCTCCGGTGGCCAGGGAGCAGCCAGGGATTGAACCGGCGCTGCAGAGGCTGTGGGCAGCTTCGCAACCCAGCGCTCAACCGCTGCGCCACTGGGGATGCCCCACAAAAAGGAACTTTCTACAGGAAAATCCTCAGTATCGCAATAAGTACTTGCCTCTCCTATCCCTACAACAAGGCTAACTACAAATTAAGGAAGAAATCACAAAGATTTTTAGCTTTCTCTTATAGTTTTTTGCCCCATATAAGCTGTAAATATGTATCCCAAAGCCTGGGTCAAGGGTCATTCCAAAATAATCATCCAGACGGATTGGAGTCCCCATATTGCATAATCCTGCGGCTCCTTTACGTCCTGCTCTATCAGTGCAGCTAGTTCTGAGACTTTGGGGCTGGCTTTGAGTCTCATGAGCATAAGCAAGAGGTCACTGAAATTTTTATGGGAAAAGAATATGGGCCCTCTCCCAAGGAAGATGTAGACACATGCCCCCACCCAAAAAGCTTTGCATACGACTGTTGGTCACTCACAAGCCTGAGCCATAAATTAAGGACTCCTTCCTTAAGTCTACACGGCTCTCTGAGCTTTTCACATTGATTCTTCAAAACAAACTTTAAAGGCTTTTATTTCCTTAAATGCCCTATTTTTCTTTCTGGAAATTCAAAAGCCAGAGAGAACACTCTATAAAATGCATTAGTGGCTCATTCACCATTTCTTTTAATCAATAACAAACTCCAATTGCTTTTGCTAAAGTGAAGACAATAAGACTTTGCACTCAGAATATCTGTGTGGCTATTCTTTCACACTTGCCTTTTAATTTTGAGGAGGACCTAATAAACAGAGCCACAATAGAAGTTAAGGCAACAGTAAAGCTCTTGCTTATAAAAAGGTATTGTGAAGTTATGTTCAGGTACCCTGACTTTCTTGAAGAAGCATTTTCTCTACAGTAATTTAATAAAAATAAAGTGCCATCAATCACCTACCTATCCACTGTTTACAATGATTTGGAATCCTTGCATGTGTGTGTTTCTATTTCTGTCTTCACACACTAACCGAACATCTAGCTGCTCAGCAGCATAAGCTCAAGGGATTGGTTAGGTTTCCTTGTAGCTATTTTCTCAGGAAGATTTATTCAGGGCAGTATCATGGTGGAGGGGAAGTAACAGGCAACCAAAATTGCATTAGGCTCCTGGGAACCGATCTCAAAGCCCTTTGAATATCCCACCTGATAAGCATCTGGGAGCCCTGGGTCAAGGTTATCAGCCTGATCTTCAAAGGGGTGAGAGATCAAAGGTCATCCACATGTCTATATGACTGAGCCCTCACAAGAACACTGAACACAGGGGCTGAGGTGAGCTACGCTGGGGGCCAGCACTCCATGTTGTCATACATCATTGCTGAGCATGTTCTATTCATATTCCACTGGAAGGACAACAGAAAACACCACGCATAGATCTCCACACCATGCACCTCTTTCCTTGGAGGTTGCTAACCAGTATCCTTCAGCTGTAATAAGCTATGTCCATGAGTGAATTCTAGGAAGTTCTTCTAGCAAGTTCTTGAAAACCCCTGAATTTGCAGATGGCATAGAAGGGAGGTTGTACGGGACCCAACTCTAGTTGGTGTCAGAAGTGATCTTAGAGACATGAATTCATCAGAAATCATATGTGTATGCCTCCTTTTATTAGGCACTCTGTTTCTTAGATTCTGTCATAATGTACCTTATAAGTATAATTTAATCACATTCATCACTTGTGTTTAAGGTATTATAAAATTTGATGATAACTTATTCTACTTTTGATGAACATTTGGATTTATTCCACTTTTGCACTATTACTATTGACCAGCTTAAAAGGAAAAAACTAGAGAAATCCGCAATCATATGGGAAATTTTGACACCTGTCACAACTGATAAGAACAACCAGATTAAAAAAATCAGAACATTTATATTACAAATTAACAAATTAGATTTCACATCAATTACTACCTAAAAATCCTATAGGCCTTCTTTGGGAAGAATAATAATAAACATTTTCCAAACATAGACTATATTCTTATATTTTCTAACAGCTCTATGAGTATTATTTCAGCTCATCTTCACAACAGCTTTTCCAATTTTACAGTTAAGAAAATTGAAGTATAGGGCCTCCCCTGGTGGCGCAGTGGTTGAACGCTGGGCTGCGAAGCTGCCCGCAACCTCTACAGCGCCGGTTCGATCCCCGGCTGCCGGCAAGGGTCCCACTTGGCACGCAGACCTCTCCTGCCATGCCCACTGCTCCCCTCAGCAGTGTGTTTTGTCAGTCTGCCTGTTCTGTTCCCCGCTCTGGCTCTGGTGAATTCTCTCACCCTCCTGTGCTTCTGACTGTACCCAGTGCTTGTATAAGTAAATAAATAAATAAATAAAGACTATAATGTATAATTTAAAAAAAAAAAAATGAAGTATAGAAAAGTTAAGGAATCTGCCCAAAGGAAAAAAAAAAAAAGGCAGATCTAGAATTCAACTTCAAGAAATCTGATTTCAGAGCCAAGTTCTGAATTCCTAAACTATTTTCAATATCTTTCATTTCCGATCTCTTCTTGTATCCCTTTTGGTACTTGCATCTTGATAGAAAATCATCTGCTGTATGCTAAATTTTATTAACATGAGTTAAACTTTAAATTGTAAAGTCCTGAATTTGTATCAAAAATGAAACTAGTTTTAGCTTTATATTCTTTCTTCTGATATCATAAACCTTATTAAATCATCTGGAGGGAACAATTATAATCTCATACTAAAATTCAATGACACAGTAATCATTGTCTCATCTAAGACCTATTATTGATCACTACAGGCTTCTGAAAGCTTGATGCTTGAAGATAAGCATCACTATCATTTAGTAACAAGATACGTAATTGTTTAGGCACCATCACAGAAAGCAGTTTTTCCTTTCAGGAGTCTTAAGCATTACCACTATATAGGCAATACATGCTGAAAGCAAAAATTTTTTTAAAAGACACAACAGGGTGGTCCCCAGGAAAGGGGGAGGTTCCCTGCCCCACCCAAGGGAGGGTGGAGCTGATCAGGAAGAGGAGAAGCTGCAGAAGAGACTGAGGAAGGAAGCAGGATGGAGCCAGAAGGAGACCTGGAGGAGGCGCATGGAGCCTAGAGACACGTGAAGAAACTGCGCTTGTCTTTTGGTCGTGGACTGGGTGACACAGATGTGGGTGAGACCCATGGGGAGGTGACAATGGCAGCTTTTATCTTGATGTTGATTTTGCTCTTTTCCTTCCGGGCTTGTCCGGTTGTTTGTGACCCTTTTCTGTGGGTCCCCACTGGAAGATGCTTTAGATTTGTGGCAGGCTTTGGGGTCTTGCTCTGGGCCAATCCCATATGGATGGACTTTTACCCACGAGGGGACGGGTAACTTTGGGTGCTTGATTTAGAAACTAGATTATTTGCCTTTCCTGTATTGTTTCCTAGTTTTATTAAAGTTCCTTCCCCTTAAAAAAAAAAAAAAAAAAAAGATAAAGACACAAAACCTTTCCTTTCTGCATAATTTGATACAGAAGGGAATATGGTTACTTTTCTACCCTTGTTCCTCCTGGAAACTTGACCTAAGTGGATGGTTAACTGGGTAATAATGGAATATTTTTAAGTAAAAAGTGAAAATAGTCCCTGATTGCACCTGGACTGGAATGAACTATGATTGAACTAGAAACACCTAATAATGACTTTGTGTCTTTGGCTATAATGGCATAATTAGGTCTGACTTGCAATTCTAACTTTTGCTATTTAAATAAAGGCATTAAAAGAGCATATTTCAGTTACCATTAGCACCTAGATCCATACACTAGGAATACCAGTCAGGATTAGTAGTTATTTCAACCCTGTAAAAATAGTTTGTTCCCAGATAAAATCCCACTCTGTTTTACTTTTTCGCCATAGCATTTAAGACTATCTGGCAGTAGTAACAATTTATTTGTTTATTGTCTGTCTTCCCTTCTAGAATGTAAGCTCCATGAGGGAAAGGTCTTTGATCTTTCTTGCTCACTGCTCCATACCCAATATGTAAAATAGTAACTGGTACCTAGTAGGGGTTCAATAGGTATTTGTTGGCTGAAGCTTCTACTAACTTATGGGCATTATCTGATTCACTAAACTTTCCTGAGCACCTACTATGTGTCAAGCCCTGTGTAAGTAAGGTGTGGTGACAGAGTGGTTATAAGCTGTGATTTTACAGAGCTAACAATCATAGATAAAACCTCAGACAATTTTCCAGTGAACAGGAACATTTTTCTTTATTAAAATGATTTCACTAAGATTCTCCATGAGTTCACTTGGTAATATTTTATAACAAAAACTTATCTTCAAAATTCTATACCTATACCCCAGTTTCCTAAATACTTCACAAACTACTTCAATCACCTTTAAAACCCACCATGTTCCTTCCCCTAGAAGAAGCCTACCTTTGTGGATAAAATGAGGTCTGCAACAGTCGTAAACTAGATGTTTCCTAACTAATCTCTAATTCCACACTTCTTTCAGGCACTCTCCTTGGGTATTTTTCCCACAAGTACTTTTCTCTTTAACTCAAAAGAGAGCTAATTTAGTCTCCTTTAAAAAACAATAGAAAATGAGCATTTCTTCCCTGTATGATATGTTCATAGGAAGAATCAGATTTTTTGAAGAATCACACACCAGTTCCCCTGATCATAGAAGCTTTGCAGAATGCTGACATTACTCAAAGTCTGGCAAGCAGCTTCCAGTTCTCCCTCACAGAACACATGGTAGTAACGATGAAACACAGAACCTGGCTCATGGGGTACCACTGAGCCAGATGGTTCAACACGTTTATCTTTGCCAAAGTTTTCCTTAAGGTGCCAGGGAACCAGCAAGTCTTGAGAATGAAAAGAAGTCCTGTTAGTGTGAATAGGCAGCCTGGAATTAGTAAGTTTCTTTAAATTGCATCCTTCCTCCTGAAAGTCATTCATGGGGGCAGAACATGTTGAATCCTGCTTGCCCACATCAGGTGTTTGCTCCACAAGCAACTCTTGCACTGATGTATCATTTTTGTTATCTTCTTTTTTCCCTTGGCTAAGTCTGTTTTCTCTAAGATACTTGGACTTCTTCTTATTGTATTCTTGTTCCATTGCCCAGACATAAATGAGAGCCTTCCCTCCGGGTCGCAGGAGTCGAACAAGTTCTTGGAGAGCTGCCACTCTACGCTCCTGGTGAAAAAAACATGTTGCCACTTATCAACCAGGAGGTGATGCAGAGAGAAAACAGGAAAAAATAACTTTTCAATGGAGTTGAACAGCCAGAAAAATCCAACAAAACATATAAAACAAAAGCAACAAAAGGGAAAAGGATATTTGTTTTGTGATTAGGGGATAAAGTGCTGAAGAAGTAAAGAAAAGGAAGTTTTTCTTAGAGGGCTTTATTTTGCTTTGGATTCAGTTAATGTCATATGTAGTACTGAAATAGCTGATGACTCCAGCACAAGGGATCGGAGCATTATTACTGAGTTTATTAATAACATCAAGAAACACTTACCACTGGGGAAAATATGATTTTTTTTTCCTGTCAGATAAATTTAAAGTATTAAGTTCATTTATTTTGAAATTTGGGACAAACCCACTACCAGTAAAACACACTAGTTTATTTTTTTTTTTAAAGATTTATTATTTATTTATTTGTTTGTTTATTTATTTATTTATTTATACATACAAGCACTGGGTACAGTCAGAAGCGCGGGAGGGTGAGAGAATTCACCAGAGCCAGAGCGGGGAACAGAGCAGGCAGAAGGACCGAAGCACACTGCTGAGGGGAGCAGCGGGCGGCAGGAGAGGTCTGCGTGCCATGTGGGACCCTCCTCCGGTGGCCGGGGAGCAGCCGGGGATCGAACCGGCGCCGCAGAGGCGGCGGGCAGCTTCGCAACCCAGCGCTCAACTGCTGCGCCACCGGGGAGGCCCAAAACACACTAGTTTAAAGAAAAAAAAAAAACAGGAGGGCCTCCCTGGTGGCGCAAGGGGTTAAGCACCGCACTATGAAGCTTACCGCAGCCTCTGCAGCATCAGTTCGATCCCCAGCCAGCCAGGAAGCAACCCACACGGCAAAGCAGACCTCTCCTGTCTTGCCCCCTGTCCCGTTCAGCAGTGTACTTTGGTCAATCTGCCTGTTCTGTTCCCCGCTCTGGCTCTGGTGAGTTCTCTCACCCTCCTGCACTTCTGACTATACCCAGTGCTTGTATGCATAAATAAATAAATTTAAAAAAAAAAAGAATAGGAAAAGAAGGAACATGGAACAAGAAAGAGGTAGACTAAGATACTGGAGATGAAAGTGAGGGTTGAGAAGGCAAACTGGGAAGCAGAAAGAGTAAGAAACTCAGGTGAGGAGAGAGTGTCCTCTAGAGGCCTGTGACTGATGGTCTCTCAAAGTCTTTTTTTTTTTTTAAGATTTATTTATTTTTGCATACAAGAGCTGGGGTATAGGCCAGAGGTGCATGGTGGTAAGAGGATTCAGCAGAGACAGAGTGGGGAGCAGAACAGGCACATCTACTGAAATATACTGCTGAGGGGTGCGGTAGGCAAGACATGAGAAGTTTGCTGCACCATGTGGGTCAGCTCCCTGGCCAGGGATCGAACTTGTGCTGCAGTGGCTTCATAGTGTTGAGACTTAACCCCTTGTGCCACCAGGATGGCCCTCTCAAAGTCTTTTACAGTTAAAATTCTGTGACTTGGGATTTGAGGAAGGCATTTAAAGATGAGTAAGACTCAGAGCAGGAAAAAAATGAAAAATGCAGCAATAAAAGCACAAGCTCCCATCAGGATACTTGGTTAAGAAAGCATGACTCCTGTGTAGTCTGCTCCATTCCACATGCTTTCTTTGAAGATGGGACAAACTGTTTGGAAAGAAAAGCTAAAAATAAGATTCAAATCAGTAAAATCCATGAATATTTCCTGTCACTTTTGTTACAAATTCTTGGAGAGAGATAGGTAATACTTACTGCTGTTGCAAAATGGTGAATCACAGCAATGGAGATGCAGGCATCACAAGACCCACTGCGTACTGGAACAGCCAATGCATCACAGACAAAGGCCTGAAACTGCCTCTCCCTGCAAATATCCACCAGGTTTTGGCTACGATCACAGCCAATCTATAATACAGAAGGAAAGAACTTTCTAACATCTTTCTTAACTGTCATGAGAAATTACATTTCATATTTGATGTGAAATGGTCTAAGACCATGAAATTACCAGTTCTTACAACCAGTACAAAGGCAGGACACATAATTTACAGGCCAACATATTACACCTTAACAAGTATCAAACAGAATTCAAATAAGTCAACAGAAACAAAATAACAAGAATAAAAATGACAGTGTAGGAAATGAGAGGCCCTAATTAGTATCTAACTGATCACATTCAGAATTTAGATCTTTCTGTAACAAACAATTAAAAGCAGAAATCATCCCATAAATACAGACATTTAGTCTTTGGGCGGAAACCACAAAGAGGATCTAAGGTCTCATCACTACAGATACAGTAACTATATTGTGATAATCCACACATCAGGAAGATGGCTGAATTTTTTCCTGCTTCTTACACTTTTTAATATGTATTACTGGTACAATAAAACATTACAAAACAATAAAAAATAATTTATTTCATTTTTTAGAAGCTATTGAGTCCTGCTAAAAACCTACCTATAAATATATTAAGAATAAAGTACAGAATTCAAAATTTGTAAAGCGCTATTTAACTACATTTTAGTATAACCAACTACACTTTAGTATAACCAGTTTTCCCCTGGGGATAACATTGGCACAGCCAGCAGCATCATTTCATCGCCCATATCAAGAAGAGAGGCCTAATGCGCCCTACACGTGTACTTGGTTCTGTGCAAGTGTTTGAAGGGGTGAAGGTGTATCTTCTTTTTTTTTAAAGATTTATTTTTTTATTTATACAATAGTTGGGGTAGAGGCCAGAGGTGCGGGAGGGTAAGAGTATTCACCAGAGACAGAGTGGGGAGCAGAACAGGCAGACAAACCTAAAGCACTGCTGAGGGGAACAGCAGGTGCGACAGGAGAGGTCTGCTCTGTATGTGGGAATTTCCCTGGCTGGCTGGGAATCGAACCCGGGCTACAGAAGCTGCGGACAGCTTTACAGCACTGCGCTCAACCTGCTGCGCCACAGGGGAGGCCCTGTATCTTCTAATTCTGTTGCTGTTTTTATACACAGTTTTACTATTTAGTTCTATGAATACTAAGATGTGTGAGAATACTAGGAGAACGTGAGCATGCACACACACACACACACAATGTGCACATGTAAACTGAGGGATGGGAGGAGCTTAAGAAATGATAAACTGGTAGCTAGTAATTATATCCAGCTATTACTTCTTAACCAAATCTCCACAACAGGGGGAAAAAATGCAGAAGTCAATTTCATAAAACACAAGTAGCCACCTCAAGCTTTCATTTACTCTTTTGAATTTTGATATATTGTAGTAAGCATTGATCATTAGCATTCCCTTGATCCACCAAAGAATAAAAAATATGAATCCTCAGGTAAAATCAGTTCTTACTGAGCCAAATAATACTGTCATGCTAAGCATACTTAGTATGAATCTGCTCAATTTCTAACTGGTATTAAACAGTTTCTAAATACCCATCGATAGATAACAGGATAATGAAATTGTGGAGTAGATAGTCAGTGGATACTACTCAGTTAAGAAAAAAAGATGAAACAGTGCTTTGGGGAGCAAAATGGATGAATTTTGAGGTGAAGATGCTAAGTAACATAAATCAGAAAGTGAAAGACAATTATCAGATGGTTTCACTCACTTATGGGGTAACAACAACCAAAGAAAACAAACTAGTGATGCACAATAAAAAGAACTCTTAGACTCTGAAAAATATGCTGGTTACCAGAGAGGATGAGAGCTGGGTAGGAGGCTGGAGGGAGGGAAAGTGAAAGGGTAGGGTCACTGGAGCTCTGGTGAAAGGTGAAGGAAGCATGTGCAACTACGGAGGTGTGACATGGTACTCCTAAAATCACCGTTATGTAAACAACTGGCAAATCAATAAAAATTATGAAGCAAAAAAAACAGCTTCTACATTCTATGCCAGAGCTGAAGTACTTTCTGAGGTATAATAAAAGGCACCAAGCCAGAGGGAAAGCAGAGCAATATCCCTTCACTGTACTTGAAGATGGGAAAGTACCAGGGCCCATTAGTAACAATGGCACGATGCTCCATGAACTGCTCTCTTTACCTGTGTAAGAAACATCACAAGCTAATTACTTTTATTTCCACCCATATTCTATGCCACCGAACCAACACTCACAATAGCAAGAGGACAATCAAATAACATGCATATTATATTTGGGTGCTTGCTGACTTTTGTTACCATAAAATTCAATTCACGAATCAGAAGTTTCAAGTATGTCCAATTCTGAAAGATTGCTCTACCTTGCTGAAAGTCAAGAGGAAGAAATCCAACTTGTCTGCAAAACAAATTCCCAGAGACAGAACTCAATAGAGAAGGAAAGTTATTATCTGAGAACCAGAGATAAAACAGAACAAGAAAAGGAGCCAAACAAAATAACAGAAAATATCCTTCTTCCTGCCAGGCTATTACAGTTATTTGCACATTGTGCTCCTTTTTGCCACATGAGAGAGTAGGGGCAATTTTCGTCCTGAAGCACCAGCTCTAAAGCAGCCCTCACTCATGTCTGGCTCGGGACTTTCATCTTTCACTGACCTATTTCCCTGAGTCTTCCATGTATTGCATTCAAACTGTCAGTTTTTGTTCTCTTCTTTTTCTGCTTTTAAATTTCCTTAAGTTTGTATATCAAGGATAGAACCAAGTCTTTGAAAGTCTCCCTAATAATGATGTGTAATGTTAACAACAGGACAGAAAATGACTTATTTATAAACGCCCACAGACAATGAAAGGCTCATGTAAAGCTACACGTTTCTGGGTATTGGATAGAGAGCCATTACATAAACACATTTCAGTTGGGCTTAAAAGGTATACTCATACCCCTACTTAATGTTTTTATATTTTCAATAAAACACTAAACATGAAATTTTGGAAGTGCACGTAAAATATTGAATCTGGTAATCAAATATGCAAACTAAAACAAGGTTTTGTTTTTGTCCTACTTGAGTATCAAAAATATTTAACCAAAGGACACTACGGTGGTAGCTGTGTGACAAAACATATTCTCATAAAGTGCTGATAACAGTACAAATTTGCTCAGCCAATTTGAAAAAGCAATTTTGCAAACCTTGTTCTAAGAAAGACAAAAATGTTCACAATTTTTGACCCAATAATTCTTCTTCTAAAAGTTTATCCTAAGAAAATAATGCAAAATATAGAAAAATTTAAATCAGCAAATAAAATTTCCTTTTAAGAACCCACTAAATACACAGCAAAATCTTATCATCAGTGTGCCTAACCCTTTTAACACACTATGAATTATATACTATCACATTTCAGAAAAGGAAACTTTATCTCAAAGTAACTTGTCCCAAGCTAAATAGCTGAATAGTTAAATGGCAGTAATTTATTTATTTTTAATATTTATTTACATGTATTTGTTACATCCTTGTTCATTATTGTACAATGTTTGATTTCTCCTCTCAGGTGCAGTCCCCATTGAATTCCCACCATCAAGTCACTATAGTCCTTTGTACTCTTTCTACTCCCTATTTTAATCCCTCTCCCCCCACCCCACAAAATATCTCTGATTTATCGTTGCCTGCTAGTTTTGTCTTTTTATTTATTTGTTTTCTTCCCTGATCCCTTATTTGGTTCCCCTATATTCTTCCTATAAGTGAAACCATCCGCTATTTTTCTTTTCCCTTCTGGCTTATTTCACTGCACATAATCCCTTCCAGCTCCATCCATGCTGCAAATGGCAGCCATTTAAACCTGCCATTTGAGAGACCTGCCAGTGTCTCATTCCATAAATCCACTTTCTTCCTTCTTGTCATATTGTTTCTCAATATATATATTCATTACAGTGGTATTTATAATAGTTCCAAACTGAACACAACCAAATATGAATAGCATTTGACACTTAGAATAGCATCAAGTCCAGGAACTATGTAAGACTACATATCAAAATGAAAATATAAGTGATAAGAACAAGTCATCAAATTGTACACATATTTCTGACTATATAAAAACTTATTAAAAAGTACTGCGTGGCTACATCTTATGATAAATGGGTTTATTTTGGTATTAGAATTATAGGTAAATACCTTTCCTTTCACCTATTTTCTAAACTGAGGTTATATTATTGCTTTTTCGTAAAAATATGCAATTTTAATTATTAGGAAAATATGCAATTATAGGAAAATCACACAAGCAGGATACAGTTAAAAGTGCAAAGAAATAGTAAAGTACATCTTCACAGATTTGAATTCTGGTTTCAGTAAAACTTGCTGAAACACCTAGAATGATACTTAATATTGGAGTCTCTGTTTCTTCATCATAAAATGCCTACCTCTCAGTGTTAATACAAGAGTCAAATGAAATGTTTACTATTTCGCTATGTAGATGTTACTTGTTATTACTATGTGAAATGATTGTTAGACAAAAATTCTTGTTCTGAATTGGAGATAGGGAGAGAACTCCATATGTCCTAATGGTACTTTGCTCTGTGTTCAGGATCTTCCATTTGGAAGTTACCACGTTCCCTTCAAGGCTGCAGAAGTCAGTGGTGTACATGTTCTAATTTTCACATAAGGAATTGAAGGTGAATACACCTACTTCAGGTGTGCTCCTCACATTCAACAAAGCATTGATAAGCTTCTATTTTGTGGCAAGTAAGTGGACAGCAGAATGGCCATGGTTCCTGGCATGTCTGAGTTTACAGCCTGGGGCTCACTGTCACCTCTAGTCTCTCTGGCCTCTCTTTGCAGAGCACCAGAAAGGATGGATGCTGTGTTGGAGATGAGGTTCTAATACTAGCCCTGCATGTCACACCTGACTGAGCATCCATTTTCCCATCTGTAAGCTGGAGATAATAACACCAATCCATAGACTATGTGTGGGAAAACAGCACAGCCCTTAACACACAGCAGGTTCTTGACATGACTAGCTTCCTTTCTGTTCTTTCCTTTCCTGGGGAAGTCAACAGTTAAAACAGAAATGTAGACAATAAGACTAAGTCAACATATCTCCAATTCTTATCATTATAAATAGACTCCTGGCATCAACATCATCAACATCATCGTATTTTCAATTCCAATTATTTACAGCAATTAAGAAAGTCCAGACCAAATGTTAAATAATTATTGATCTAAGAACCACATTTGAACTGAAAGTGCTCTGGGACCAATGCACAGAACACCACTTAGTGGAACGAGCTGGGCCAAGCTCTAAGGATAAACATCTCATCTACTATCAGTCCCCATATAAAGGCCGTAAGTCTCTTGAAAGTAAAAAGCTCCTTGCTTATAAAATTTAACTCTGAAACTAAAACCAATAGCTAGCACTAGTAAAAGAAATGAAGAGCAACTGGGGAAGTCTAAAAAAGAAATAGATCTTAGCCACACTATGACATTTTGAATTAAAGAGAAGGACAAGCTCAGGCTTGACTCAGATCAGTAAGACAGATTCACCACACATAGTTCTTACAGAAATGAAAAACAGTTCATTAAACTATTTTTATGAGAGTCCAAGCTAATATTTTAAGACTGCATCTTGTTAAGGAAATTATATGATGTAGTGACACTAATAGTCTTTTAGGTTCCGGGCCTATCCTACACTTAAATGCCCAGAATGAAAGGTCACATCCTCTTACGAAGGTCAAGAAATGGGCATAATGTCATGCTCATAGATGGTTGTTCAAAAAATACTAAGATATCATTGCTCCATCCAGGTTGTGTGCTTTAAAAGCCTTAAAACAACTTTAAAAAGCAGGCTTCCCTTTTATCTTACCAATTCCATTCCTGGTATAGGGAAGACCGTAACTCCAACCAGACAAGCAGTTTTCATATATTCACTAAACCAACACTTACTGAGCCTTCCCTTTGGTCAGACACTGCAGTTGGCTCTAAGAATAGCAAACAGGAAGGAATAGATCCAGATGCCACTGACACAATGAAAGTAGACAGTGGAGAATGAGCTACTTCTGATGTTGTAGTCCTGATAAATATATTCCTACTTGTGTCAGCTTCAGATTTTTCATTCAGTTGCCTGTTTACCAAGAAACGTTTCTTTTCCATTATAACAGGATAATGTTACTATGTCTAAGACTTCAACCTAGTTTCACTATCACAAGTGATACCTGAGTAGATAAAGGCACAGGCTATCATCAAGTCCAAAAGCAGATCTTACAAGTGACATATTTCTATAGTACCTTAAGATTAAAATACCACATCACTTTGTTTTGAACTCTGGTTAGAGTTGAAAGTAAAAAGCTCCTTGCTTATAAAATTTAACTCTGAAACTAAAACCAGCTAGCACTAGTAAAATAAATGAAGAACAATTGGGGAAGTCTAAAAAAGAAACAGATCTTAGCCACACTATGACATTTTGAATTAAAGAGAAGGACAAGCTCAGGCTTGCGATTTTAAGTAGCACATTAAAAACCTACTTCTGCTTTAACATGAACAAACTTAACTCGCTACATCGACTAAAATTTAACTGTAAATAAAATGACAATGGCTAATGTCTTATCTTGATGAAAGGCTATTCTTGATCTTTCCTCAACCACAATAGTAACTTATTTTCTTCATACAGGTGCACAGTATCTATGATGAGGTTAAAAATGAAGATTATCGGCGATCTGGCACACTCAAAAAAATGGAATGTAGACGGCTTCCTCTCTTCTTACCTACTCCCCTCACTCTGTGCCTTCCTCTCCAAATCTCAGTAAAGGGAAAAGCCAGGCCTCACAGAACAAGTTGCTATGAATATTACAATAATGCACTAACAGGAAGAACTTTCTACTTCCTAGGTCAGCAAAAGAAAAAGTGGTCCATAGAAAAGGAAATCATAGCAATGGAGAACAGAAACATAGACACAGACAGAAAAAAATTCAAACCTTAGTAAATTCTTTAATCTACTTGAGTTTACATTTCTTCAACAGTAAGAAACCAATAAATACTAACCTTTTTTTCCTACTAGGAGTAAAAGAATACTAGATTTGGAGTCAGAGGCATGAATTCAAGTTCATCCCCTGATCATATTACATCAGGGAAGTTTCTTCATTTATAAAAGGATGAAAATATCTGTTTAATCTTTTTCATATTTAGAAGAAGCCTAGCAAAGAGGAGGGCTTCTACAAAAATCCTTTCTAACAGATCAATACATGATAGTTGTACTGATAAATAATCTTGAGAGCAAAATCTAAAGAGAAAAAAAGAAAAGAACTCCAAACAATGGCCTGACCATAACACTTTAGGTGAGCAAAAAAGAATGGGTATACTCATTAATTTTCAAGCTGTTGGTCATAGCTTTTCCTCAATGATCTTAAAAAAAAAACAAACCAGTGTTATATCACATGGGGGAAAGTGTTTTACAAATAAGTAAAACAGGAAACAAAAAAGCCAAAAGCAACAATTACTTGCCATGTATAAGTCCTTATTGATGCCGAGATATTTTCCATTTCCACATCCAACATCTGCCACTAACGAACCACTTGGCAATGCTTTCAAAAACTCCACAATGTGTGGCCATGGGGTGTGCCTTGTGCTGCTGAAGTGCCCAGCGATTTCTTCATAAACTCGGTGGACATATTCTTGCTCTAGCTGGGAAGCTCCTTTATCACTCTCTGGAAATGATGGGGCGGTCACCTTCATTTGGCTGTCACAGACCAAATGGTAACCTAGTAAAAAAGTAAAACAATATAAAACTTTTGTTCTTATCCAAATGATTCCTTAGGTTTCCCAAAAGATACAGCAAATCAATCCAAATTTAATGACTAAGAATAAGCAGACTCTAATTTAGCAGTTAAAATACCTTATATCTAAGAAGTCCAATTATATTGATATGTGTAGCGGTCTGACATAAAAAAGAGGGGATTCACTTGCAACAAAACATCGTTATAATTCTTTTTTTTTTAAAGATTTGTTTATTTATACAAGACTGGGGTACAGGCCAGAGGTACGGGAGGGCGAGAGAATTCACCAGAGACAGAGAGGGGAGCAGAACAGGTAGAATGACGGAAAACACTATGAGGGGAGCAGCGGGCAAGACAGGAGAGGTCTGCCGGGCCATGTGGGTTTCTCCCTGGCTGGTCGGGAATCGAACCCGCAATGCAGAGGCTGTGGACAGTTTCACAGCACTGTGCTTAACCCACTGCGCCACCGGGGAGGCCCAACATCATCATAATACTGCATGCCTTATAATATAGCTTTTATTTTGTTTTGGGTTAAAGGGTCCTTACATATACAGAAAAGAATATTGATGGGCCTCACTTAAACAGAAAAAAATTAGCTAAACTAAAAAGATTTAGTGTTTTTCCAAGTTTTGGATGCACCAGGTTCTCAGAAGAACAAGACCAAAAGCAGTGCGTCATTTGTTAATAGCCACAAGTACCTCATAAACACTATTGAGGTAGTTTATATGGATTGCCTCAGTGACACTATGAGATAGGTACTATTATATCCATTTTGCAGATGAGGAAACTGAAGCACAAAACATGAATTAACTATCTCAAGATAACAAAGACAGGAAATCATGTAAATAAGATTTTTGAACTCAGCAGGGAGATTCCAGAGCCTCCTTCTCAATGACTACACTGTTATCTCCTCCAACAAAATAAGCAATTCCCAAGGAGAGCACCACCAAGGAAAGGAGATGACAAAGGAAATTAGGATGCAATGTCTCAAATTAATTGTGAAATTATTCCCTGTTCCCTGCAATAAAGTCTAATCTTCATTTTAAATCCGTGCCTCGTCTCTGCCACATTTTGCCTATAGCAGAATTATATTATAATATATTTTATAATTTTGTGATGTAACTATAAACAATTATAACTTCTCAATGAATATCCTTAACAAATAAATATTTGCATATGAAAACTAGTTTTTCTCTCCAACTAGACTTCCAAGTTCCTTAAGAACAGAAGCCATACTTCATTTTTCTCTACATTGTAATACTATTGGTAATGTTAGATACTCATCACATACTAAATAAACATTTTTAATTGATTAAAAAAATTGATGTTCTAACTTTCAATGACATTTTTAGCAAAAGAAACAAAAACCTGTTTTAAGCTTCACTAATACCATGATAGCTAATATATTCAAGTTTTCCAACAGAATAACATCTTGTGGAAATAATAAGCATTTTAAATTTGAAATGTTTTAAAGCTTATTACCAAATCCAAAATTTACTGCTAGATGCCACCCATTATTGAAACCCCCAGGATACAAAAAGTATCTGACCATCACTGTCATAAAATATTGTTTATAAAATGAATGGGGTTTTTACTGACTCCAAGATACCCAGGTCCTATGTACTTGCAAGACAATTCAAAATAGCCTCCTCTTTACAAATTTTTGAACATGTCTTCTATTCCCTTCTAGGTTTCCAAGTTGACCAAAACTTAAGTCACTATTTATCCCCCTAGAGTTACCTGTTTATTAAAGAGCAATTTGTCATCTCCAGCTTCCCTGTTGGGGTCCTGAGAAGTAATTTAGAAACTTGACAAGCTGCTTCCACCAAAATCTATTTTTGTCTAGGTGATAATTTACTTTCCTACAATCGTAACACTTTTAAATGTGACTTCAATACATAAAATATTTATTTGGCATTGAGCTCAAGTACTATGTTCGGGGAAAATAAAGCTGAATAAGATACAGTCCCTATCTTCAAGGAACACAAACATCTCATGGGGTGGTTAAGAAGTACATTAAGTACAAAACAAGGCAGAATATGGATAATGCCACTAGAAAAGTTAAGACAAAGTTCTCATTGGTTCTGATGGCACTTTAAAAGATTTTTATTCTGTATTTACTTCATTTCACAATAGGAACAAAATAAAATACTTACTGCAGTTACAAGGTGTTTGTCTCACTTTCCTAAATGTATATGATGTCCGTATTCCCCTCTTGCTTAAAGTTAGGTCTCCAACATCACTGGTTATAATTCCACTTTTATGACCCTTTGATGCTTGAACAGTATCAAATTTTCTGGGTGTGATTCTAAAAACAACAGTCAAAATAATTTAACACTGTGATTATAAAAATATTTCAAGTCCTTTAAAATTAAATATTGAGGGAGTGCACATATCAATTAAATTCCCTGTTTTGTTAAACATTATAGAAAAAAGAAAGAAATAGAAGTCTCTGTTTTTAAGGAAATTATCTTCAGGAATAAACAGAATTTAAAAGACAGTTTAAAAGATTAGTGAAATTAAAAGCAGGTTCTTTGAAAAAATAAACAAAATAGACAAATCTCTGGTTAAATCCACAAAAAAAAGGGGTGGGGAACTCTACTAAATACAATCAGACACAAGAGAGCAGTTACAACAGACATATCAGACATACATACAGAGACTATTCTGAAAATCTATGTCAATAAATTGAATAACCTAGAAGATATGGACAAATTCTTAGAAGCATACAACCTCTGAGACCAGATCAGAAAGAAATAGAAAACCCAAACAAATCAATTACAAACAAGGAAATGGAAACAGTAATCGAAAGCCCCAAAAAACAAAGCCCAGCACCAGATGTTTTCACTGCTGAATTCTATCAAACCTTCAAAGATTAATTAATTCCTATCCTTCTCAAACATTTCAAAAAAACTGAGGAAGAGGGAATACTTTCAAACACATCTTGTCAGACTAAAATTACTCTGATGCCAAAAGCAAACAAAAACATCACAATAAATGAAAATTATAGACCAATATCCCGGATGAACACAGGTAAAAAATGCTCAACAAAATCTTACAAATCTCAACAAATTCAGCAACACATTAAAAGGACTATATAACCAAATGGGATTATTCCAGGCATGCATGGAAGTTTCAACATTTGCAATTGATCAATGTAATTCACCACATCAACAAAAGGAAAGATAACTATCACATGATCATAACAACAGATGGAGTGCATTAGATAAGAGTCAACGTTTATTTATAATAAAAATATTCAAAAAACGGGGATAGAAGGAATATATCTAAGCATAATAAAGGTAATATATGACAAGCCCACAACCAACATCACATTTAATAATGAAAAACTAAAAGCGTTTCCTCTAAAAACAGGTACAAGATACCGATGTTCACTTTCACTACTAGTATTCATATGTTAAGAATACAGAATTTGCTTTCCCATCAGCCATCTGCAGTGGAACCTCCACCAAGATGCAGATTTTCATTTAAACCCTTACAGGAAAGACTATCGCTCTTGAGGTTGAACCCTTGAATACAACAGAAAATGTAAAAGCCAAGATCCAGGAATTCCTCCTGATCAGCAGCAACTGGTATTTGCTGGCAAACAACTGGAAAATGGATGTACTTTGTCTGAGTACAACATTCAAGAGGAATCCACTCTTCTCTTGTCTTGAGACTGTGTGGTGGGGCTAAGAAAATAAAGAAAAAGTCTTACACTGCTGCCAAAATATAAACATTAGAGAAAGAAGGCTAAGCTGGCTATCATAAGAATGGCAAAAATCAGTTGCTTTTGTCAGGAATGCCCTTCAGATGAATGTGGTGCTGGAGCTTTTTATGGTCACCCACTTCAGCAGACACTGTGGCAAATGTTGTCTGACCTATTGTTTCAACAAACCAGAAGACATGTTATTGTGTATAAGTTAATGAAAGACAATAACAAAAAAAAATTATGAATTCTTTAAACATCTCTGAACATTTCTTTTCCTCTATGCATTCAAATTATAATCTAAGTTGGGAAAATGTTAAATAAAAAGATAGAAACATTTTAATAGATTAATAATTCAATACAATAGTAAAGATATCACATGGTAGTAGGAAACAATATAGTCTCTAGGAGCCAAAATAAGGGATAAATTATTTCAAGCTAATGTAGTCAGGAAAGCTTTATAAGTTACAAAGGAAGTAAAAGTTGAAGTTGAGTTATATCTAAAACAAAGTGAAAGGAAAGAGAAAGTAATTTACTACATTAAGAGTTGGCAAAAATGTGAAGATGAGAAAGCACAGTATAAGTTGAAAGTCAGGGAGCAAACAAATTTGGTTATAACATATAACCATAAGCATTATACCTGGCTTCCTCTCTTGGTTCTGCCACCTAATGGTTTTGGAACTTTGTGCAAGTTATATGACCTCTTTATGCTCCAATTTCCTTTAAAAATGGGCTAAAAGCATGGAACAAACTGTCCACTATGACTGTTTGAGTGAAACGAGTTAACATAAGTAAAGCTTTTAGAACAATGCCTGGCACCAAGCATGTTTCAAAAATAATTTAAAGGAGGGCCTCCCAGCGGTTGAGTGCTGTGTCTGCAGCGCAGGTTTGATCCCCGGCTGCTCCCCAGCCACCTGAGGAGGGTCCCACATGGCACGCAGACCTCTCCTGCCGCCCTCTGCTCCCCTCCGCAGTGTACTTCGGTCCTTCTGCCTGTTCTGCTCCCCGCTCTGGCTCTGGTGAATTCTCTCACCCTCCCATGCTTCTGACTGTACCCAGTGCTTGTATAAATAAATAAAAATAAATCTTTAAAATAAAAAAAAATAATAATAATTTAAAGGAAAATTCACATAAACTCATGAATTAATGTCTCCCAGGGCCAATCAAATAATATAAAAGAATGAAGCTGATGGATTTGTTTGAAAATACAATGTTTGCCATTAAAGACATAGGAAAAAAATCTTCACATAAAAAAGCAAAGTGTTCTCTTGTACTTTTTTAAAAATACACATTCCCACTCATTTTAGCTTTCCATTTCCTACTCTTAGCATGCACATGAATTCGAGAAATAGTTTTCATTTAATTTTATTTTTTAAAATAAAAACAATAGTGTAAGCACAGGGATAAACAACAACTGACACTCAGTTTATGATCAGGAAGTCACAGAAAGCAGTAGGAACTATAGAACATTGGAAAATGAGGACCTCATCAAAAGAAGGCCATTGAGAGTCTCGGCTACTACTGTCAATGTACTAAGTACTATGTACTATGGGCCCAATGTTGTCAGATCTTCTCAATTTTCAAGAGAAACTGAAAAATCAAATTTTTATGTAAGAATCCCTGACTTTAATATGTAAACATTTCAAAAAGAATGGTACCATGTGGACTGCCACTGCCCCAGTCAGGGAAACACATCTGACTACTCTATTTGACCCAAGTGCTGCCAGTTTACCACCTCTGAACTCAACCAAATTAAAAGTGTTTGGAACTAGTACTATATCGCAGTGTTCATTCAACCTTCCTCAGCTCATATCCCTTCAACAAGTACACTTTTTTTCAACACAGAGATGAATGTATTTTTTATCAAGGCTTATTCCCTGTATTTTATACACACACACACTCATATTTAAGTGCATTAAATGTGATTTTTCAATGCATTTTCCCTTCTTACCAAAGATTCTAGTGAAGTTGGCATACCACATGTTTTGTCAGTCTTTGATCCTTTCTCTGTCAGGGCTCCCTCATACAAACACACGTAAAATCTATATTACAAGCAATGTAGGTATCAATGGAGGCCTTTAAAAATAATACTGAGGATTTTTTCCATAAAGTTTTTTTAGACAATTTTGATTCTAGAGGAAGGCTTAAAAACAAATACTATCTGTAATTCAAATTTCCAGATATATTGCTCTTAACAATACAACATACTTTGAACAAGAATAATGTGACCAAAATGATGTTTAGGAGAAATAATCTGTACCTTTAGACCAAACAGATTAAAATATTTTCATATGAAAAGTGATTTTTACTTTGTACTTGCTCTAATATCACAATTCTTAAGTTTAAATGCTACCAATAGTAAAAGAGCTTGAACCTAAAAAAAGAAAATGAGAATAATCTCAAAATTCTAAATGGCTCTAAAACCAAAAAGCAAGTAAATTTGAGCCTCAGTGCACAAAGTAAGACTGTTTTGATGGCTCACATTTGGGGTACATTAGAAATTAATTCACATGTTCATTTCCCTGAGTTTTTATGAAAATGCCTCAGCAAAAATCTCCAGCAGAATAGTACTAATAAGTACAGAACTCAACAGCATTTAAAGTACAATATATGTAAATTTTAGCAGTGTGATGATTTAAAGGCCTCAAAAGGCCAAGGAAATATGCCTCCAAAAGTGCTTAACTCATTTCTTTCAGATTAGAGCAATCAAACTAACTCAAAGTCATGGACATTCTATGAAATAATTGGTCTCCTTGAAAGTGTCAATGTCATAAAAAACAAAGGAAAGCTGAGGGACTGTATCAAATTAAAGAAGGCTAAACAGAATTGACAACTTGATGTAATACAGGATCATAAATTTTCTTCTGAAAAGCTTACAATAAAGTACTGACAAAGATTCTCTCTTTGACCAAACTTTAGTCAGGCTCCTCTGAGCGCATCCTTGGGCAATTCTCCAAAAGCCCAGGGAGCAAGAATCATAAGTCAATTTAGACATACTCCCTCACACTCAGTATCTGATTGCACTCAATAACTGACCAAAATTCCTACTCCCCACCATCTCCCGGGAGATGACTAATCCCCCTGCATGTCTGCAGCAAGAACCCCATGCTCAGTTTGGGTAAAATCCTCCCTTTACTAATGATTCTTCTTCTTAGGAATTTTCCATCCATTGCCACTGCCACAGTCCCAAACCTGGCTCCTGGGCCATAAAACCTCACTTTTTCCTGTGGCTTTTGGAAATGAGCCCACTTCTATACTGATGTGTCTTTTCTTCTGTTTCAACAGCTCCTGAAAAAAATCTGGTTTTGCTGTTTTAACTACTGTCAGATTCTGGTTTGTCTCTGACAGTATTATAAAGTATAACGAGCAAAACCCAAAGACAGTTTGTATAAGAATATGATAACAGTATTTTACCAATGCTGAATTTCCTGAATTTGAGGATTGTACTATGGTTTTATAGAACAGGGGTTGGTAAACTTTCTCTGTAACAGGGTAAGATAGCAAATATATTAGGCACAGAGGACCACATATAGTCTCTGTGGCATATTCTTTGTTGTTTTTGTTATTTACAACCCTTTAAAAGTGTAAAAACTAACTATAGCTCAAGAACTTCATAATAACATGCCTAGGGCTATACCTGGACAACAAAGCATAGTTTGCCAGGCCCAGATTTATAGAATATTCTTGACCTTAGGGAATATACAATGAAGCACATAAGGATAAAAGGTCATGATATCTGCAACTTACTTTCAAATGATTCAGCAAAATTAATAATGGCAGCATATGTGAGAAAGAAATAAAGCACATAACAAAATGTTCACAATTGATAAATCTAGGTGAAAGGTGAAGGGAGTTCACTGTACTAAGTTTGTAACTTTAAACTTGATTTTTTAAATCAAAATGAAAGGTTAATACAAAAAAAGGGGGTTCCTGGGGATTTAAACCCAGAAGCCTTCATGAGCAGGCATAGGGCATGGCTTTTTTAAATCAAAATGAAAGGTTAATACAAAAAAAGGGGGTTCCTGGGGATTTAAACCCAGAAGCCTTCATGGGCAGGCAAAGGGCATGGCTCTGATGGCTCAGGTAGGTGAGAGTGAGAGCTCTCCCAAAGCCAAAGGTCCCCCATCATCAAGGTCATCCCAAAACCTACCCATGGGTCCAAAGGTATCGAGCTTCTCCTGTCATCACCAGCAAACTCCGACGAGGCAACATAACTGGCACTGTGACACCATCTGGGTGCTTAAAATCCATGACAATCTTGAAAGAAAGAAAAAAGCATTAAGAGCAATCCAAAATGTCAAGTACCCAAGGACAAGAATGACTCATTGATTCTGGCCATCTTTCTACATTAATAGAGAATACAACATGATAACATTTATAAACAAACATAGCAATGGTTCTCAAACTTGAGACCACATAAAAATTAACTGAATAACTAAAAAACATACTTCTTCCTTAAAGATTCAGATTCAGCCTTTCAAGTCATGTAGCATTATGTATTTTAAAAGCTGATATAGAGATAATCAAAGAACCCAGGATCATTTTCAGAAAATCTTCCTACTTTGTGCTCAAATATTATGAGTAATAACTTACAATGATACAACACTCAAGAAAATGTTTTTGTCCTCAGGAACCCAAATACCAAAGAATTCAGCCTAAACACAGCAGCAGATGACTCTGTGAATTTAAAAGGCATGCTATGCCACACGGCTGAAAAATATTTTTTTAAGTGAACAAATCAAACCACTTGAAAAATAAATATGACAACCAAGGATCAGCAGGACTAAGAGAATTTAGCATAACATCTTTGTTAAAAGTAAATGTAAACTTTGTTAAAAGTACCTGGCACAAAATAAGTATATTCAATAACTGTTAACTGCTATTATTACTAATAGCAACATTGGACAGAATTAGATAATGCACACATAAATTCTTTGTAAACTATAAAGAATTATACAGATGTAAACTAGTTTTTTTCCTTTCTCATTTGCCCTTCCAATCTGAATGTGGAAAATAAAGATGACAGAGTTTAAATTTCCAACAATTAATGTTCCAAATGATCACATGTAATTTTAAATAGCCATACTTCAAAAGCATTTTATTCCTAAACACTACAGGTGAATTCTGAAGTTGTAGGGATGAAGTGTAGAGATACTTACAACTTCCCTGAAAAGTAAAAATTAAAATTTTCATTAAAAAATATTGGAGAGCTAAAAGTCCACTGTGACCCATTTTTAAGTCAATACATAGGTTTCAATTTTCTGAAAAGACACTAAGGACTATGTATAGGGAAGAAAGAGCATATTCATTAATTACTTTATTAATCAGTTATGGGTTAAAGGACTGACAACTGTTGATGGAAAAATATTCTAAGAAAATAGACTCTAATTAATGGATTAAAAAATATTTATTAACCAGGGTATGAGGATCAAAGGCCACCCATCCAGAGGTTACAGTGTCTGGGCTAATTAATCTAAAACATGTTTGACAAATACACAGTACCTATCTGCCTGTGAAATTTAAATACATTTCCTCCTATCAAAGGAGGGAAATGCTTTAAACTAGGACAAATGAATAGAACTGACAAGAAAAGTAAGATTATGACATAAATCAATTTGGAAATACTTGTCCTGAAACACACAGGCCAAATTTCAAGGAAGAAAACTATACTACTGAAAAAAGTCAAATAGGAAGGGAATTATGTTAAAAAATGTACAAAATTCTTATTATTGATTATTTTTGATGACCATTACTGATTTGCTAGAGATGCACAGAATTCAGGAGAGCAGTTTACTTACTGTTTACCAGTTTAGCATAAGAAGATAAAAGATGTAGACCAATATGCAGACGCTGCACTGTGCCCCAGGCATGCCAGGGCGGAGCTCTAAGGCCACCGTGCCTGACGGGTTCACTAGCCAGGAGCTCTCTATACCCCAATTATTGGAACTTTTATGAAGATTTCCTCAGACAAGCATAACAGATCATTCACTCCACTTCAAGACCCTCTTCCCCCCATGGAGACTGGAGGGCAGGCTAAAAATTCCAAGCTTGGCTCAGTCTTTCTAGTGAGCGGCCACCAAAAGCCACATCATTAGAACAAAAGACACCCAGGAAACTCCAAGGAACACTGTGTCAGGAACTAGGGTAAGATAAAAACTACTGGAACTAAAGTTGCTTCTACTACTTTTATTGCTTAGGGAATTATAGGAGTTTTAGGAGTTCTGTGCCAGAAACTAGGGGCAGAAAACAATGTACATACACTTTCTATTATCTCATAGGTAGACCATGTGAAGGCATAACTTTTTTAAGTTAAGGAACTAATTTTTACTTAATATATTAAAGGTAGCCTCTAGCTGCCCTCTTGCCCCATGTGTATGTACCTAATGTCAACCAGTTCCCTGGGCAGCCTACTTCAATGAAAGAACTATCCTGAATGAGGAAAACTTGCTAAACTGCAAGCACAAGGGCACACTGGTAGGCAAACTGCGGTTTGCAGGAAGAAGGTGATTCACAGAAGATCTACAGCAGTTGATTAAAAACTTCAGCTCTCCTTAAAGAGATTAGGGAAGTATGTTCGCAAACTAAGGGACAATGATTGACTTTAGCAACCCTAGAGCTCAGGCATCTCTGCAGTGAACACCTTCACCATGACAGGCCAGGCTGAGAAAAAGCTGCTGACAGAAATGCCACCCAGCATCTTAACTAAACCAGCCCGGTGCAGACAGTCCGGGGAGCTTAAGGAGACTGGCTGAAGCTCTGCCCGAATCTGTGGATGGAAAAGCACTCTGCCTGTTACTGGAGTAGAGGTGAATGATGACAGCATTCCAGATCTTGTGGAAAATTTTGATGACGCTTTCAAGAATGAGGCAAAGTGAATTGAGTCAACTTTTAAAGATAAGACCCAAAGAAGTTACTGGGAGCTACTATTTTATATTGAATATTATGGCTACTTTTAAAAATTTTGGTCATGTTCTGATAAAAATCTAGATCTCTAATTTAAAGCTCAACACCCTTGGACACTACATCACTTTTCTAGTTTTTGCTAATGAAGTTGAAGAAACATAGGAATTAAGTTGGAAACACAGGTTGAAAAGTTCTTTGGCTAATTTAAAGAAAATTAAATGTGCATTTTTCTATGAAAATGAAATTTTTTCTTAAAACATTCCATCGTGGAAGCAAAGTATTATTAGCATCATATTTAAAGTATCTGTATCTTAACTAAATAAACGCTGAAAGAAAGACCCACACAATTGTTTAAATTCCCTAAGGATGTACAATCAACAATACTCCCCTGAAGTGCTGAATCATTCTGCCATGTGACATTTCGGCACTACAGGAGCTTTTTCCAATTATTCTTTTTGGTTTTACCTATTTTCTTTACTTTCTGAGATGGCAGAATCAATAAAGATCAAGCTCCCAGTCAGCACATGAGGCATGACTGAGGATAAAGTTGAGTTCAAAGCAAACAAACAAAAGAATCCAGACATTCTCATCTTAGAAACCCTTCATAAGTTCAAAATACAATAGATTAAAAGTCCCAGCTACAGCTATCATTTCTCTCTCCTAAGAAAAGATTAATGACATGTAAGGACACAAAGAAATAAACAGATCTCCAAACAGTGGCTAAACAGAAAAATGGAGACTATCTTGCTACGGGGAACACTTATGAGAAAGAAGACAAACTTAATTCTGATCCTTAGAAATAGGCTGAGATCATTAACCTTTTGAAAGCCTGAAGGATATATAGATGATGGATTATATGACGTGAAGAATGATTCATGGAGAATGATGAAAGTGAAGAAGATAGAAGTTACTATATTTAACTGGAAAAAACATTTCATAGCTGAGAATTTAGCAGAATAGGAAGAAGTCCACTGGTTTCTCATCTGTTAAATATAAATCTTCTGCTGTTACACTAACATTTTCACAGGGCCCAAATGAAATAAGAGTTTGCTTTTTATTTTAAATAGCAAATAAGTGACTCCACATACCTCCTCATGGCTATGTCCAGGATGTGGTAAAGGAGAGAAGAAAAAAGGGAGACAGACTTATAACCGCAAGGATACAAGACTGAAGTCACACAACTATTTACAAAGAAAGACAATTTTACTAAAAATGTGTTTATAAACTATCCCTGAGATCATGCTCAGCGAAATAAGCCAGAAAGAAAAAGAAAAATACCGGATGGTCTCACTCATAGCAGGAATCTAGAAAACTTAAATAAGGGACCAGGAAAAAGAATAACTATAAGAAAGAAAATATCAAAATCAACAAACTATGAACCAGAGACACTCTATGGGGGGTGGGGAGCAGGGAAAGGAGGGATGGGGTCAAAATAAGGGGGTTGTAATTGTATGGGGAATAGAAAAATAAAATTTAAATTAAAAAATAAAATAAAATAATGCCTCTTAAAAAAAAAGATAAGTAATGGGTATTGCAAATTTTTTGTTGCAAATTACTTCTCTTTAAATGAAACAGGAATAAAAAAAATAAAAAAATAAACTATCCCTGAATTTACAAATATAGAAAATAACTATTTTGTGAGATAATTAATCCATTGTGAAGAAGAAGAGGAACTTGGAACATTTTTAGTAAAACAACAGGATTTTCTGAAAAGTTGCCAAAAGAGAAGCTTGTGGGTATGGCATATTTTTCCAGAATAGAGGAATGAATACGAATTTTGCCTATGACACACTGGAGACAAATGGCTGATGCCAGTGCCTGCACAGTTTCCATTCAAGTTAAAATCAAGGACCACAAACAATACTGTTTCCCTTCTATGACTCCAACTGGGGTGAGATATGTTTAAAAAAAAAAGGCAGGAATCTTGAATTGACTTGCTAAATTTCTTAAAAACTGTAATCTCAGGATTACCGAATCTTGTGAAACTCAGGAAGGAAGGAAACAACGGAAGGAAACAACGGAAGCCACACACCCTGGAATCAGCACACAAGACATAGGACATAGAACCTCTTATTTGAAAATGATGGAAAAAAAAACAAGTTATGTCCCACAGGCAGAGGCAATTTTATAAAGTAGAGGCAGTCTCGCCATGGGGAAAATAAACATGAAGATGAGACAATACTTATAGCATAGAAGAATAGCTACTGAAATACTATATGCAGCAGCTAAATAACACTGTACCCCCAAAAGTACTTATTTCTCATTGCTTCTGAGAAAGGATGAACAATAAACCAAACATCATTTGATAGTTCTATTAAGGAGACTGTTTAGTTGATCTGATACCATGCACACTT